GCACGCAGGGCCGGGCCGGGAGAAAACCTGGAAGCGGGCTGGGATCCGGAGCGGCCAAATCCACTTCCTAGGGGGCCGCACCGGGCGCGCGGCGCTCCCTCGCGCGACACGCCCCGCCCGGCTCCTCCCTCCACCCCCCCCTCCGGGGAGGCGGGGAGCCGGCCCTGCACCCCCCACCCGGAGAGCAAAGGCGAACTTCCCCGGAGTGCAAAGGCCCAGGTCCCGGGGGGTCGGCGGCTGGGAACTTGTCCCGCACCCGCGCCCGAGTCCTAGGCCTGTAGCGCGGCCACCTGACTCTCCACCGCGATACCTGCCCCTCCTCTCCGGCTGGGGGCTTGGGGGAAACTGGGCTAACCGCCCGCCCCTAGGCGAGGAGGGGAAAGCGCCCGCATTTCTCGCATTGTTTCGCTACAGGCACCGGCAGGACGTGAGACTCTGGATTGGCCTTATACTCCCACCTGGCCCCCCTCAGACCTGCTGGCCATCAACCGGCTCCTGTAGCCCTGGCCTGCGCCGAACCCTGGCGGGCATTCCCCACCCCACCCCCAGCCTTCTTGCCGGGTTCTCCTACAAGTCTAAGCAAACCCCTGGAGCGGGAGAAATCCCCCAAACTGCCAGACGATGGGGAATAGCCAGAATTGACCGTGGAGATTTCTGGCCCAACCCCTCCCTCTGCAGGAAGAGAAACTGAGGCCCTGAGAGGGAAAGCCACTTGCAGCTAGCACACGGTGTGTTTGTGGGGGCCGCGGGGGCTGGGGGGGGGCAGGTTCAGAACCTGCGACTCCGGATTCCTCGCTTGCCTTGAATTATAGTAGCTCAAGACCCCAATTCCCCTTCTCCTGCGCCAGCCTCTTGACAGATTCACACCTCTCTGGGTCCCAGTCTCCATTTCGCCAGCAGAAAACTGGAAATGGGCGAATCTTCCCACCTTCAAGCTTTGTCAGATTCCATTAATGAGTGTTTTTGAAGCTCCCAGGGCTCCTTTAATGAAGGGAACTGTGCAGATTGGGAACTTGTCATTACCGTTGTTATTGTTACAATCTGCTTTAAGAGGTTAGGGTGAGAAGTGCCTCAGACACCTCGGGAGTGTGCTGGGAACTGGGCAGATAAAAGGGGCTGGAACTTATTATTTGGCTAGACTCTCAATTCCCATAAAATTACATAGAGTGAAGATATGAACCATCATGACAATTATCGCCCTCATAGGGTGTGTTGAGACTTCCTCCACTGTTGTTTGTAAACCACATTGACATGGTGGCGATCAGGAGCTGTGGAAACAAGTGTCGCTGTTGTTTTGAATGGCCACTGTAGACTCTTTTCCATTTTATAAGTCTTGGAGACCATCAGCATAAACAGACAGATTGTGACCCATCTATAAGCGGGGCTTACAATTTCTGTCGGTTGGCAGAACATTTAATTCCGAAAGTAGGAGAGCAGTTTTTCTAAATATGCAAACCCGATTGCAAATTAATTTCCTGCCATTTCTAAGGTTTTCCTCAAACTGATAACCATCGGGTCCCCGAGGCATTGATAGAGCTTAGACCAACACTTTTAACTTTCATTGACTGGTTTACTTAAAGATGTTCTTCACCAAAGAATATGATCTGAGATACAACCAACATTAATAACAGCAAGAAATTCAGTGGACATAAGGGAGAAAAAGCCCCTCCCCCGCCCCCCCCACACACACACATGCGATGCCCAATACATAAAACTTGTCATAGAAGTCCAAGGGGGACCCATTTCTTGCCCCCCAATTTACTCCTGCTCATCCAGTTTATGTATTATTAACCCAAACTTCAACCTTTTTCTAGGGATTCTGGCTAGAATCGAATCTGGACAAGTCTGAACTTTACCACACCAGGCAGGAACCGGGAGCCCTGTTCAGAGGCGGCTCCCACTTCAAAGCCTCCTTTCATTTAAATACAAACAGGGTGAACAACTGGCAATCTACGAAACAAATACCATCCAGTTTCCCTTTCAGAGGGCCCATAGTGCCTCCCCCCACCCTACCCTCCCCCATATCAGCTTTTCCAAAGAAACTCCTTGGGCTAAAGTCACCTACTCTTTGTCTGTGTTCTGAACACCAGAAAAAGGATTGGGGATCATGTAGAAAGCAAGAATCAGCCACCTTTAGCTAATCATGACACCCCTTTTTTCTCTTTATGTTGGTAAAATGCCCAAATATAAAATTTACCATTTTAACCATTTTTAAGAATACAACGCAGTGGCAATTAGTACATTCATAATGTTACACAACCATCACCACTCCCCAGTTCATGATCCCAAAAACGAAGCCACTAGTCATTCAGTTCAGCATTCAAAGTCAATTCTACCTCCCCCTACCCCCTGGAAACCACTAACCTGATTTCTGACCATGAATTGACTATTCTAGATTCTTCCTATAAATGCAATCACACCATAGGTGATGTTTAGTACCTGGCTTCTTTCACGTAGCATCATAATTTCAGGACCCATTTGAGCAGACAATATTTCCTTTCTATGGTTGAATGGTATTCCATTTCAAGAGATAGAGTACTTTAGATCACAGGGTTTGGTCATAGTTTACAAACTACTTCCCAGGACACTCTCATACTCTTAGAAAACGTTCGTGTTTTTTAAAACTAGATAAGCAAACAGAGTGAGCAAGGTAATAAAGATTTTCCACTGCCACAGAGTCCTAAAGTGTAAGGACTCTGGCTAAATCCCAGGCTATTTTTTTTGTTCAAAAGCACAACACTCTGGGTCTTGTTTCGGATCAGCAGTGGATGTGCAGCAGCCATGACCTGAAAAAGTGTTCATGTTCTGTCTTAATGCATGCTAACTGAGCACCTATTATGTGTCAGGTGCTAGTGCTCGATGGAAGAAGGATAGACAAGCCAAAAGGACTTGCCAGTCTAAGGTATGGGGCAAGAGTTACCTCCAAAAAGACTTGCTCAGCTGCATACATTGATTCTACACAGTTGACCTTCAAACTACAGGGTCTGCCCTGCGTGGATCCACTTATAAACAGATTTTTTCCCTGTCAGCGGGTTCCACATTCACAGATTTAACCTCACATGATCAACGGTGAGGGACTTCAGCATCCTGGAGTTTTGATTTCCTGTTGGGGGAGACTGGAATCAATCCCCCCTTGGCTCTCAGGAGACCACTGTAGCTAAGTGTGGGAGGAGTCCAAAGTTATGTGTGTGCTTTCAACTGGAAGAGGTCAGTACCCCTCATCCTGGAACTTTTGACTTGTTCAAAGGTGACTTGTACTTGGTATTCCCATGCGAGGCGTCTCTCCTGATATGGCAAGGGGCTACTTTCACTGGTGATGGGAAAGAGCAGGCTGTGCTCATTGCCCACTTTCTCCAAGCCAGGAACTTGAGTCAGGTCTCTCTGCACTGGTGCCACTTCTCTTGGCCTTCTGGGAAGCTACCTTGGTTGGCAGATATGGTTCTGACGAGTAGAATGTACCTTCCCTCTATTGCTTAGTTGGGCCCGCCACCCTCTTGCCTCTCCCCACCCCACCCATTCCTCCCACAGGCACCAGTGATCCTCCAACAACCTCACTGAACAATACGCCCCCTCCCCTATAGTACCCCATTGCTTCCCAGATCAATCCCCAAGTCATTCAACAGATTTGGATCTCCCCTATCAGGCCTCCGTTTGTCTCTGCCCTTCCCAGCCCTGTATCTTGTGCTCTGCCCCATGAGAACACAGCGTCACTCTCCATCATGCCATGGACTGGGGTATCTTTTCATTCCTCTCCCTCCCCCCCATTCTTACTCCTCAGACTGCACCAGGATTCCCCCACACAGAGCAAATGCCTCCTGCTTCTAGACCTCCAAAACACTGCACAAAATCATTTCCACACCTGCCCTGCAGCAGTGTTCATGCCGCCTCCACTCCCAGCCTCCAGGAGCTCTTTTAGGCTTTATTTTTATTGGCAGGTCTACAGCCTGCAAAAGTGCAGGTTCACCAGATGGGCCCTTTCCCAAGGCAGCAAAATACCTAGATTTGTATCTGAAATCCCCTGATGTTTTTAAATGTTACTGACTACTTCAGAACTCTGGAAACTTTACCAGACAAACAGGCCAGATTCAACCTAGATTTCACCTAGTCATTTTCATCTCTTGCTTCATGCCTCTCCTTTTTTAAGCAACCAAACAAGTAGTACCTTCTTGCTATGTGCAAAGGTTGGTTCCATGAACGCTCTAGAAATAAAAGGTCTGTGGCTGCCTGTGAGGAGCTGACAACTTGCTGGGGCAGTAGGACCCATATCTCCATGTTGAAAGGCAGAGATAACACCAGGGCATGCAGGTCCCTCACACACTCATCCTAATTGCTGTTTCATGGTTGCTGTGCTCCTTCTAGAAATCGTCCCAAAAGCCAATCCTTGAAGGATCAGTCACTTGGAAGGATGTTGATGCCTTTAGTTCGTTCCTGTCTCCAGACCTTCCTTCAGTATTCTCAAGTGCCTCAAGGTGACCCTACCCTGCCTTGCCTTTTCCCCCACAGAGCTGTGTACTTCCTTGTCCCTGTAC